TGCTTGAGAGCCTTTGGATTCGAGAGCCGCGAGCTGGCAGAGGCCCTGGGGACCAGGGTTGTCAAGGCCAGGGCGGGAGCCGCGTGCAGGCGCGCGCGGGGTTCTGTCGAAGCAGCCAGCGAGGGCGATTTCGGCTGACGTGCGGAGAGGTGGAGCCGTCCTGTCGGGGGCCTGCGGCGGGGGACGGAACCCTGGTGAAGGCCTGACGAAGGCCACCTCGGATGTGCCGCCCCACCTCGATTTTGCTCTCCCTCCCTTGACCTTGCCCTCCATGGGCAATGAACCTCCCCTCCCCCTCCTCCTCCTCGTCCTCCTCCTCCTCCTCCTCCACCTCCTCCTCCTCCTCCGCCTCATCCACCTCCTCGCCTCCTCCTCCAACCTCTAAGGGACAATCCGTGGGAAGTCTTCGTGCAACTAAAAAATAAAAGCATAACAAAGAGGCACACACAGAACATGTCGGACCTCCGCGTGGATTTCTTGGATTGGCGCTGGACCCCCTGGCGGCGCCTCTGGCGCCGTCCCTGGCGCGCTCTGCGTGCTAGGACAGGGGGCTCCTGTGCCGATCCCAGAAATCTGCGCGGAGCTCCGAAATTTAGTTGTATGCCGCAGTTGCTCATCCATTCAACAAATACAAACTTCACCAATAGGGCTCAGAAAATCGCGCCGCACCGTCGATGCGACACCGATGCATCGGTGACGGGCTATGTGGTGCCGGTCATTTCCTTCATGGCAGGTAGGCCCAACTTCGTGTTCAGCCTTGAGGTCGATCTGGTCTTGAAGCTAGGATCGGTCTGCTTGGGTTTCGGACACCTTGATACGGTGACGGCTACGGCGGTGTCGAAGACGTCGATGACAATGGTTATTACGATGACGATGCTACTGGGGATCGTGATGTGAAGGCGACGACGGCGACGACGGTACCTCTGCTGGTGGTGATGATGATGCTTATGATGATGGTGCCACCTGCTTTGACGTCGCGCCGCGCGCCGCACACACCCGTGTCCCTGGAGGTCCCCTTAGTTCGCCCCCGAGGAGCCCTGGATGCACAGAAAGGGCCCAACACATTGGAGAGCAGGAGCTTTAGTAGATCGGCGCCTCGGGCTTTGTGGCCTTTTATACCTGGGCCTCCCAAATGGGGGTCAGAGCCGTGGGGTCGGAGGATCGCGGGCTCGAGGTGGAGCCCAATGTTCTGTTCACCGACGTCGCCGTGGATGGGGGTATCATCTTCACATAACCATTGGGCCTCTGGTATTACTGTGCTGTCGCCCTGGTTCCTCTATGGGGCTTGCTAGATCTGCCAGAACCTTGCGCCGTGCTAAAACAGACTGGCACAGATGGGGAGTGGATCGCGAAGAAGACTCATGGTGTAATCGCGGAGACTTTCGGCATCGGTCGAAGAGGAGACACTCGTGAGGCCGAACAAAGACGACAAACTTGTGATGATGTTGTCCTCTCGAGTCGGCCCCATGCGACGATCCGGGGCTTGCGGAACCTTGATTCTCTCACGACGCTGTCCCCTGGAACTCGCGACCAAGCGCGGGAAAAGTATGGAAAAGCGGGCCGCCGCAGCCGCCTGCGGACAGCTCCACGCAGCTCCAACGGCTCTCGGTCTCCAAATCGTCACTGCCTTCGAGGCTCTAGCCAGCGCCGCTCGAACAACAGAACGGCCACAGGCGTGCTGCGGACGACGCCGGAGACAACGAAAACGCCGCACATTCTTCTCCTTTGCGCGCGATCGAGGAATGGCAGATCCCCCTTCACTCAGACGCCCCTTAGTAAAGCGGTTGGGGCACTCCACGGGTGCGCGCGGCTTCGCGTTCCGAATGCACCTGGGCAGAACCACGAATCGACGCCTAAAAACTGGCGAGTATATCTGGCGAGGCGCACGTCGCTTAGCAAAACCGACTGGGGACTGCACTGGCACACTTGAGTGCCAATGTCGAAAAAACCAGAACCCGTCGGTCGGAAGAAGTAGGTAGAACCATGAAGTTGGAAGGCGTTCGGAGTAGATTGGACTTCCGCCCGCCCGCTGAAGAGCAGGGAAGAGGGACCACCGATCGACTCCTGAAGCAGGAAGGCGCCTTAAATGGGCTGGGACCTGGGAGTCCACAAATACCCGGTTCCAACGACCCGCGGGCAGAGATGTCCTCAGTCGACTTATCTGGGGGGACGTTCTGTCAATGCCCGACACAAAGGGCGCCGGCGGCAAACTCGCGGCCGGGGTGCGGAACCGGGGTCCTCTCGGAAGAGCAGCTTGCCTCACACCCACGGCGCTCCCCACCCCCTCCTCCCGCTCCTCCGCCCTCTTGCCCGCCACCCCCCTCTCCTCATTCACCCTTCTCCACCCTGCCTCCGCATGCAGCATGAAGCTCCTACTCCTCTCTTCTCGCTCCCGATCTTCCTCCTCCTCCTCCTCCTCCTCCTCCTCCTCCTGCTCTTCCTCCTGCTCCTCCCCCCCCCCCCCCCCCGGTGAGGCCTGGCACCTGTTTTCATGGTGTCAGTGCCGAGCACCCTCGGGGCACACTGTACACGGCATTTATTTCGCAGGTTGGGCGGGGTGCAACCGGCCGAATTTTCTGGAACCGCGGGCTCTGGGGCTTGGGGTGGATGTTGCGAAACCTGCATCGACGGGTCTCCCGTCGTTGGGTAGCACGGCCCCAGTGTCAGCCTGGCCCTGCTGGTGAAGGCGGGTAGCGGCGCCTGTGCGGTAATTTCATTGTGATCCGACCCTCAGGGATCGGCATTTCCTCGGGAGGCGGTGGCTTGTGCCACGTGAGTCCCAAGGGGCCTTGTGCCCACCCAGGGCTGGGGAGTTGTGCTCCTCAGTATGCCGTGCCAGCTGTTCCGACTGGGATGCCTTTGGCTCCCAACGCACCATGTCGGAACCGCTGGGCCGCGAGTCTTCACAGGCGACGTGGTCCCCCCCTATGCCCTTCCTGCGCAGCTGTTGCTGCTTTCCGGGCGGTAGTTCTTTGGCTGGGCGTGTGCAATACACGTGCGGCCTTCGGGAGACCGACCCTGGGCGCCGGACTCCTGCTCCTCCTCCTCCTCCTCCTCCTCCTCCTCCTCGCTTCTCGCTTCTCGCTTCTCGCTTCTCGCTTCTCCTCCTCCTCCTCCTCCTCCTGCTCCTCCTCCTCCCCTGCTCCTGCTCCTCCTCCTCCTCCTCCTCCTCCTCCTCCAGCTCCTCCTCCTCCTCCTCCTCCTCCTCCTCCTCCTCCTCCTCCTCCTCCTCCAGCTCCTCCTCCTCCAACTCCCGAGAACCGCAATCCACCAATGTCTTTTGGCTCCTGCCTGGTGGCCGGCGTATTGTCACACCCGCCCGTCCGCGAAGTCCACGTCCAGACCCCTGCAGGAGTGAGCGCAGTGACGCCACGTGGACAACCCCACCGGCGCCACAGGTGGAACTCCCTGTGAGGGGCGTGCCGAAAGGAATGCAGCACATGCAGCAGAGCGGCAGGAGGATCATGCGGAGGACGCGGAGGAGGCGTAGGAGGGTCAGGGGGAGAAGAAGGAGGAAACGATATTTTTCGCGGCGCTGCGGGTTCCAAACGACGGCCCAACACGTGGAAGGTCGGGGAACAGAACGAGAATGGGAAAGAGGAGGGGCCTCCTCCTCCTCCTCCTCCTCCTCCTCCTCCTCCTCCATCTCCTCCTCCTCCACCTGCTCCTCAGAGCTCCTGAGAAGATTGCTGTCCTTCAGATCTCGTCTCATCTTTCCCCTCTGCAGATGTGTGTAAAGAAGTATCCCAATTGGATGGTGGAGGGGAATATTTGCGCTGATGAATTGGCAGGGCACATGGCAAAGATGTTCCGTGTGTCCGAGCAGTCCCGTTTTCGTGTCCTGCAGGTCGAGAGGAAGGCAGCTTTGGTTCGGAAACGTCTTATGAGGTCTACTCTGCAGGCCACCAACGCTGAACAGGCCTTGAGGAAGTCTGAAAATACGAGGTCCGCTGCTGGTGCCGCCGCCGCTGACCCTGTCCCTTCTCTTCCTCCCCCTCCGCCTCTTCCTCCCCCGCCTAGTCCCGCTGCTGTCGCCCTGTTCTGTTCTGGGCATTCAGTGGACGGCGGCGGCTCCAAGTGCACGAGGTGTCACAACTCGAGCACGAAGGCGGGGCGCACGCGCTGGCTCTCTACATCTTGTCATCCTCTCGTCTCCTTGTCTCGGGGTCTGCTACAGCCTCCCGCGGGGGTACAGATTCATCTGGCAGGGGGGTGGGTGCATAATACTCACGCTATGTGTTTTCATGAAGTTTCGAAGGTTTGGATCTGTCGAGCTTGTGGCTTCTTCGGAGCTGAGCAGCTTCGAGGTCTCTCGTCCACTTGTCTCCCTTCGAAGATCACCAAGAAGCGGAGGGAATACCTCTCCAGATTCGAGAGGGGACTTCCCCCCAAGTAGTCAGTCGGTTATTGCTTCGCAATCGTTCCGAATCCGAATCCGAATCCTCCTCCTCCTCCTCCTCCTCCTCCTCCCTCCTCCTCCTCCTCCTCCTCCTCCTCCTCCTCCTCCCCCTCCCCCTCCTCCTCCTCCTCCTCCTCCTCCTCCTCCTCCTCCTCCTCCTCCTCCTCCTCCACCTCCTCCTCCCAAATATGTGGGACGGAGGTGGGGCTCGGCGCCGCGATCTCAAGACCATGATCCAACGCACAGGAGAGTCGGGAAACATACACCCTGCGAAATGCTTAAGAAATCATGGGTTAAGAAATTCATAGTCTCAGAACTTGAATAAAAACCTACAATTTCCATTCAAATCTTAGGAGTTACATTGAAACATTAAGAATAATCGAGACTCTGGCCGAAAATCTGAGTTTTCTTAAGCATCGCTTAAGGTGTACGCTCTGCGCGTGGCGGGTGACGGGCCCCACGGCCTTGGATGGCACGGGGACCCCCCAGCCCTCTCTCATGGGACTTCATCATCGACGGAAGCGCCCTGGAATGGTGAGCTTCAGCAGAACTGCTGTGGAAATCGTGGCTGTCGACCTCCCCCATGTGACCATGTATTCACCCCGGGCGGAGCGACGATCGAACGCTGCCGCCAGAAACTCGCTGTAGTCCACGCAGCCACTGCCATCTACGTCCATGGCATCCAGAACCTGCTCCAGTTCCTGCACAGGCACCCTCTCGTTAGAGGAGGTGTCCAGGAGACGAGGATCAAGGGGGAGAGGATAGGAGGCGGGCAATGCAAAGACAGGGAACACTAGCAACCCTGAAGTGCCCCCCTACGATCCCGCGCATCCTCTCCCGAAGGAGGCCAGGATCATGACACTGATAGCTTGCTCGCAACCTCCACCGCATAACATACAGTGTACATTCTCTGGGGTAGGTCCGAGAGCGTGAGACGCCCAGCAGATTACGCACACTATGCTTGCTGGGTGAAGGCCCGCTCGCCGCATACCTCAGTGTATACAAGTGCGGAGGCAGCAATGTGAAACCATGCCGAGCCAGGAGAAGGGACACCACAGTACCGATACGGTGAAGGCATTGCATAAAGAACCACTGGATAAGGAATCCAGGTCCTTGAACCCGCGGACCTCCAATCGTGGAGAGGCCATGGATATCACCGCCGCCAATCGTGGAGAGGCCACGGAAAGAACCATGGATAAGGAATCCTCCAGGGTCTGAAGCCTCCTAGGCAAATTACTGAGCGAACGCCCTCACCGTACCGCCACTCTAGGCATCTCTCCTGGGGTACGTTCTGATCACAACTTCGAGGGGAACCCGGCTAAGTGATAAGGAAGCGGGGTCCTGAAGGAAGCAGGCCCTGGACCCCGACGCCTCCCCCCAGGACGAGTTCGTCGTCCCGAGGCTTTGTCTCGCCGTCCCGGGCCCTCTACGTGCCTCGGAAGGCCAGCAACTGCGACAACCGCAGGACACGCCCCTTTGCTCTGGGCCTCCCAAACGGGGTCGGAGTAGGATCGCTGTGGAGCAAGAATTTCTACACGCCGAGGGCGCCGATGCATCGCCGACGTCGCCGATGCATCGGCGACATCGGCGCGATCCTCTGACCCAATCTGCTCGGACACCATCATCTAGAAGACTGCTACCTCCCACCTCGGCGATGCATCGGCGACAACAACGTGATCCTCCGACCACCCGTGCGGATCACATCTAGGAGGCTTTTACCTGCCCCCATCCGAGGAGCGCATCGGCCATGCATCGGCGACGTCGGCGCGATCATCCGACCCCATCTGCGGTCAGGAACTTGTGGATAGCCTGTCGCCACGGCGGCCCCGCCAAAATGATGTGCCTGGTGAGCGGGTAGCGTGTCGCCCCGCTCCGCGGGGCGGGGGGGCTGGGAGAAATCTCGGGACGCTGACGCTTGGGAGTGGGGACGCGGATACAATCAAGTTGCTCCAAAAAGGAACGCATGATAAGGAACGAAGCCCCTTCTTGGTAAGAGAAGGGCCTGGATGCAAGAAAGAGGACTGGAGAAACAATCTCGCAATGACCTAAGGAACAGCGACCCCGTTCCGAGGGTGACAGCCTAAAATTATGGTTGTGCCATCTTCGGTGATGGTATCGAACAGACGGCACCGCAAGTGACCAATCGGTGCCGATCTATCGGACTGTCGACGGCAAGCTGCACGCGAAAGGCCTGGAGCAAAAGGTGGGGCGGTACGAATCAACGCTGAGACGTACCAGAGCCACTGGAGAAGGGAGGAAGGGGAGGAGAGAGAGGACGAGCAAAGATGACCGCAGAAAATGTTGTGCTGCATCTTCGGGGGACCTTGCCTGTCCCCTCGCGCCGCGATCCGCATCGAATCCGTGTCGAATCCGTGCCGAATCCACGTCGCCTTCACGTCGAATCCGCCTCGAGCCCGCGTCGGAATTTGTCTAATTCTACGCGTGGGCCACCATGTGTAGCCACGGCGCGGACCCCTCACCGCTCGCTGTTCAGGGCGCTGGGAGGAGAGACAGAGACTTGCACCCAGGACGTCACTCTGTCTTGTTCACCATCGACGCCCGGCGGTCTCGACCACATTCCCTGGGGCAAGTTTGTCCCGGTGGCGAGCCAGGGGGAGTGAAAAAGTGCGGGCCTACTCACAAGGCTGGAACGGCCCCCCGCCTTCTGAGAAGTTTCCGACGCCTCCCCCGAAGACACAGAGCACCTCCCAGAAGGCGGGATCGTTTTTGAGAAGGTCTTCTCCTTCTCACTTCCCCCCCTCCCTCGCCGCCGATTGCCTTCCCGAGTCGCTTTGCTACGGTCTCAGCGAGGGGGACCCCAGAGGCAGAAGGAGGGAGGGAGAGGAGGGAGAGGGAGGGAGAGGAGGGAGGGCGGAGGGAGGGCGGAGGGAGGGAGGGGATGGAGGGAGGGTGCGGGGGGAGGGCAGGTAGGTAAGCTAGGTGCGATCACGTCATATTTGACGCTCTACCCCTCGTTCCGATCCCTTACCATGGCGTAGATCTCTTCTCTAATTACACAATCAGATGCCTATGCATGGCGTAGCAGTACATGGCATGGCATGGTGTTGAAGACCAACGCGTAGCATGCCATAGCATGGCGTGGCAACGCCACAAAGTGGGGGGCTTCTGCGGCCCAAAAACTCAACGAATCGACTCCGAATGTGCAATCACTTCCGAATGGATTCTTCGGGAGGCCATTTGCTAGATTTTGGCGCCGATTAGGAAGGACCGAACCTATGCCGTGGCATGGCACTGGAAACAATGACAACAGTGCTGCAGAGGGGGCACGAATCGGAACGAGCGGAAGCGCGGAAATGAGGCCATCGCTGCAGCGGGAGCACGATTCGGAGGACGTGGAGCCTGAAATAGCATGGCGTGGCGACGCCCCCAAGTGGGGGGGGGCTTCTGCGACCCAAAAGATCAACGGATCGGCACCGAATGTGTGATCACTGCCGAAGGTTTCTTCGGAGGGACATTCGCTAGATTTTGGAGCCTACTTGACGGACCGAACACCATGCCGTGGCATGGCGCTGGAAATAATGACGCCAGCGCAGCAGCGGGAGCACGATTCGGAACGAGCGGAAGCGCGGAAATGAGGCCAGCACTGGCGGGAGCACGATTCTGAGCGAGCGGTGGCCCGAAAATGAAGGCAACGCCTCAGCGAAACCAGCATTTCGAAGAAAAGCCCAAGCGAAAGCCCGTTTCCCCGGAAGCCTGTGTAAAGAACCAGCAAGGGGAAGGGAGGGAGGGAGGAAGAGGAGGGAGAGGAGGGAGTGCGGGCCTCCCCCCTTCACCTCCTCAGTCGTTCGCCCGTGCTTCGCTAGGATGCGGCGCTCGGTTTCCACTCGCCCATGATAGCCTCATGCGCCATTTTCTGGTGCAGGTGCTTCTTGCGTGCAGCAGGACCCAGGACAAAAGAACATCCTTCAAAGATGCGAGATCGTCGGCCGGCAAAGCTGCAGAACAGTCGAGGGCAACCTCCCCCAGGATGCACCAGAACATCCGACAAGCACGAAAAACATTAGGGCATCCTCCCCGAACTGACCTCGCTCTAATACCTCCGTCCGACCCTAAGTTTCGCGGGCCGCGGGGGCCTTTTCACCACCTAAACAGGCGAAGGGGGAACGCATCACTTGTCAACCACAAGCTGATATCATTGGACACCAGACGAGGCAGCGGAGGTTTGGGATAGGCCGTTAGGCCCTCGCCTCGAAACCGATGGCGAGCACCTGCGTGTGCCACCGGAGAGCCGACCGCCACGTCTCGCATCCCCTCCTCCTCCCTCCTCCCACCTCCTCCCTCCTCCCTGCCCTCCCTGCGTCTCCTCCTCCTCCCTCCTCCTCCTCCTCCTCCTCCTCCTCCTTCTCCTCCTCCTCCTACACAATTACTCAATATGAATACTGCTCTCCCTCTTCCCCTGATGGCGTGCTGGGAGTAGTAGACCCCCCCCGCGTACTGTTTTTTTACACACAGGATTCCCGGGAGTTGGGTTTTCGCCTGCGTTTTTTTCAAAATGCTGCTCTCGCTGAGGCGCCGGCCTCATTTCTGCTCCCGAATCGTTCCGAATCGTGCTCCCGCTGCAGCGTGGGCCTCATTTTCGGATCGGTGTTTTGCCTCCGTCGTTCAGGATGGCGTTCTCGCCCCAGCGCGGGCCTCTTTCTCGCGCGCCCATCCGCCCGCCACCACCGCGCCGCACCACGCCCCGCCCCGCCGCACGCACACCCACCGCCACTTCCACCCACCAACGCACGCACGCACGCACGCGCACCACCACCGCGCACCGCCACCACCACCGCACTACCCCACCCACCACCACCACGCTACACCGCGTCACACCACATCACACCACGCACCAGCACCAGCACCAGCACCAGCACCACACCAGCACCAGCACCAGCACCACCAGCACCAGCACCAGCACCAGCACCAGCACCAGCACCAGCACCAGCACCAGCACCAGCACCAGCACCAGCACCAGCACCAGCACCACCACAACCACGCACACACGCACGCACGCACGCACGCGCACCACCACCCACTACGCACGCGCGCGCGGAGCCACAGGTCCGCTACGACACGCGTCCGCGGATAGAGAAAATCAGCGCCATGGTAAGGGATGGGAGGGAGGGGTAGGACGTCAGATATGACGCGAGCGCACCTAGCTTGTCTGACGCGAGCGCACCTAGCTTGTTCCTCCTCCCCCTCCCC